GAATTCCTGCCCCATCCCCAGGGGTTAGAGCGGGGCCCCAAAGGGAACATTTACAAACATTTTAAAATTCTTATCCTTTGATGACATGACAAGTATTGTATTTCACTTAGTTTACATGCTGATTTCCACATCACATCTAAACAATAAAATAAAGCTACCAGTACCTATGATATAACTCAGGTGACCGCTAAGGCCCTTGGGCCTCTTGTTTTCATTCATGACGCAATTTTGCTACTAACAAGGTGCTATTAAAATTTTGTGCCTTATTTAATAAATCATTGATTTACGCTTTTACTTGTTTCTTTTAACCAAGAACAGAAGACATACAGTTACCAAGTTTGTTCAAAACAGACCCCTTGGGTCAAAATTGGAGTCACACCCATTTATTTCAGTTATCGTGTTCACAGGGTCCAACAATAATAGAATTACCAAGGGGAATAACTATGTAAGTTCAGGTCAAATTGGTCCGGTATTCAACTCATCCAATGTAGGTGGGAGGATTATCTACAAGGAATGTAGGTGATAGGATTATCTACTAGGAATGTAGGTGGAAGGATTATCTACTAGGAATGTAGGTGGGAGGATTATCTACTAGGAATGTAGGTGGGAGGATTAGCTACTAGGAATGTAGGTGGGAGGATTATCTACATAGAATTACCAAGGGGAATAACTATGGAAGTTCGGGTCAAATTGGTCCGGTATTCAACTCATCCAATGTAGGTGGGAGGATTATCTACAAGGAATGTAGGTGATAGGATTATCTACTAGGAATGTAGGTGGTAGGATTATCTACTAGGAATGTAGGTGGGAGGATTATCTTCTAGGAATGTAGGTGGTATGATAATCTACTAGGAATGTAGGTGGGAGGATTATCTACTAGGAATGTAGGTGGGAGGATTATCTACTAGGAATGTAGGTGGGAGGATTATCTACTAGGAATGTAGATGGGAGGATTATCTACTAGGAATGTAGGTGGGAGGACTATCTACTAGGAATGTAGGTGGTAGGATTATCTACTAGGAATGTAGGTGGGAGGATTATCTACTAGAAATGTAGGTGGGAGGATTATCTGCTAGGAGTGTAGGTGGGAGGATTATCTGCTAGAAATGGAGGTGGGAGGATTATCTGCTAGGAATGTAGGTGGGAGGATTATCTACTAGGAATTTAGATGGGAGGATTATCTTCTAGAAATGAAGGTGGCTGGGTTATCTTCTAGAAATGTAGGTGGGAGGACTATCTACTAGGAATGTAGGTGGTAGGATTATCTACTAGGAATCTAGGTTGGAGGATTATCTGCTAGGAATGTAGGTGGGAGGATTATCTGCTAGAAATGTAGGTGGTTAGATTATCTTCTAGAAATGTAGGTGGGAAGATTATCTTCTAGAAATGAAGGTGGCTGGGTTATCTTCTAGAAATGTAGGTGGGAGGATTATCTACTTGGAATATAGGTGGTTGGATTATCTTCTAGAAATGTAGGTGGGAAGATTATCTACTTGGAATGTATGTGGTTGGATTATCTACTAGGAATGTAGGTGGGAGAATTATCTACTAGGAATGTAGGTGGGAGGATTATCTACTAGGAATGTAGGTGTGAGGATTACATGACATTGACCTACTTACAAGATCAAAGGGAAAAATATGTCAACCAACTTCTGAAGAAGAATAAAAAAGCATAGAATCTTATAATAATATTTGGCTGGTAGTTTCAACAGATGGAGCCAACAAAGTTTGCAAGGGAAATATTTATAGTGCAATATAATATTTAATGAGAATATTTTGCTATGACTGCTTAAATATTCAGGTGAGCGATACAGGCCCTCTTGGGCCTCTTGTTTTTATTTGTCCCTTTGATGTTGATTGATATTACACAAGAATAGATGCAAAATCATGTGGTACAATTTTTTAAGGTCACCTTAGCTTTGCTCAAGTGACCTATTCCAATCCCTTTCCGTCCGTCGTCGTCCGTTGTGCGTCGTGCGTAAACTTTTTACATTATCAACTTCTCAAGAACCAGTGGATGGAATTTTTTCAAACTTGGCTACTTGGTAATTTACTTGGAATGAAGGTGGGAGGATTATCTACTCGAAATATAGGTGGGAAGATTATCTACTAGGAATGTAGGTGGGAGGATTATCTACTAGGAATGTAGGTGGGAGGATTATCTACTAGGAATGTAGGTGGGAGAATTATCTACTAGGAATGTAGATGGGAGGATTATCTACTAGAAATGTATGTGGTTGGATTATCTTCTAGAAATGAAGGTGGCTGGGTTATCTTCTGTGAATGTAGGTGGGAGGATTATCTACTAGAAATATAGGTGAAAGAATTATCTACTAGGAATGTAGGTGGGAGAAATATCTACTAGGAATGTAGGTGGTAGGATTATCTATTAGGAATGTAGGTGTGAGGATAATCTACTAGTAATGTAGGTGGAAGGATTATCTACTAGGAATGTAGGTGGGAAGATTATCTATTAGGAATGTAGGTGTGAGGATAATCTACTAGGAATGTAGGTGGGAGGATAATCTACTAGGAATGTAGGTGGGAGGATTATCTGTTAGAAATGTAGGTGTGAGGATAATCTACCAGGAATGTAGGTGGGAGGATTATCTACTAGGAATGTAGGTGTGAGGATTATCTACTAGGTATGTAGGTGTGAGGATTATCTATTAGGAATGGGAGGATTATCTGTTAGAAATGTAGGTGTGAGGATAATCTATCAGGAATGTAGGTGGGCGGATTATCTACTAGGAATGTAGGTGGGAGGATTATCTGCTATGAACGTAGGTGGGAGGATTATCTACTAGAAATGCAGGTGGGAGGTAGGTGGGAGGATTATCTACTAGAAATGTAGATGGGAGGATTGTCTACTAGGAATGTAGGTGTGAGGATTATCTACTAAAAATGAAGGTTGGAGGTTTATCTACTAGGAATGTAGGTGTGAGGATTATCTATTAGGAATGTAGGTGGGAGGATTATCTACTAGGAATGTAGGTGGGAGGATAATCGACTAGAAATGCAGGTGGGAGGTAGGTGGGAGGATTATCTACTAGGAGTGTTGGTGGGAGGATTATCTACTAGAAATGTAGGTGGGAGGATTATCTATTAGGAATGTAGGTGAGAGGATTATCTACTAGGAATGTAGGTGGGAGGATTATCGACTAGAAATGCAGGTGGGAGGTAGGTGGGAAGATTATCTACTAGGAATGTAGGTGGGAGGATTATCTACTAGAAATGTAGGTGGGAGGATTATCTGCTAGGAATGTAGGTGTGAGGATTATCTACTAAAAATGAAGGTGGGAGGTTTATCTACTAGGAATGTAGGTGTGAGGATTATCTATTAGGAATGTAGGTGGGAGGATTATCTATTAGGAATATAGGTGAGAGGATTATCTACTAGGAATCTAGGTGGGAGGATTATCTGCTATGAATGTAGGTGGGAGGATTATCTGCTAGGAATGTAGGTGGGAAGATTATCTACTAGGAATGTAGGCGGGAGGATTATCTACTAGAAATGTAGGTGGGAGGATTATCTATTAGGAATATAGGTGAGAGGATTATCTACTAGGAATGTAGGTGGGAGGATTATCTGCTATGAATGTAGGTGGGAGGATTATCTACTAGAAATGCAGGTGGGAGGTAGGTGGGAGGATTATCTACTAGGAGTGTTGGTGGGAGGATTATCTACTAGAAATGTAGGTGGGAGGATTATCTGCTAGGAATGTAGGTGTGAGGATTATCTACTAGGAATGTAGGCGGGAGGATTATCTTCTAGAAATGAAAGTTGTTGGATTATCTACTAGAAATGTAGGTGGGAGGATTATCTGCTAGGAATGTAGGTGGGAGGATTATCTACTAGGAGTGTTGGTGTGAGGATTATCTACTAGAAATGTAGGTGGGAGGTTTATGGATTAGGAATATAGGTGAGAGGATTATCTACTAGGAATGTAGGTGTGAGGATTATCTACTAGGAACAAAGGTGGATAGAAGATTCACTTGTTTTTATGAAGATAAATGGATACTTACTATTCTATTCTTATTAAATTTTAGTGTTGTATTGAACTCGATTTTCTTTAACAGTACAGAAACTATTGTATTCATATTGAAAGTAAATGGGGTCTCTGAAATATTCAATGAAGAATGTACTAAGATGCCTGATATACTTGGTGGAAACTTAAGATATAGTAATGTCATTGAAATGGTTAAAATTGGTATCAACAGCTTTGAATATTATTTAAATTTTTGTATTTTTCCAGTGGAGTACCGTTCAAAGGAAGGATACGTTTGCTGGATGTTGGGAGTTGTTACAATCCGTTTGGTGCTTTTGACGAGTTTCTGTCGATTGGCCTTGACATCAGTCCAGCTAATTCGGTCAGTATGATGTGAAGCTAATTCGGTCAGTATGATGTGAAGCTAATTCGGTCAGTATGATATGAAGCTAATTCGGTCAGTATGATATGAAGCTAATTCGGTCAGTATGATGTGAAGTCTTTTCCAGATTGGACTATTTAAAATCAATTGTTTAAACATTTAGCGTTAAACTAAAACTTTTATTTTGAAAATCAGCTGCACTTATTTACGGTGTTTAAATTTGTATTTCACAAATGGATGGTGTAAAACGACATGAAGATACATTTTTTTCTTAAAGTCAGCATAGATACAATCCATCAATATGTCCATGAAAAAAGATTTTGTGAATCCAGCTAATTTTGCTGTTCATTGAAACTCAAATTACAAATAAGTGGATTTGATTGTAAGATTTATGCTTGAACTTGAGAACGGTTTCATCAAAATGTGACCTAGCTTATAATGGAGAGAAGGGTTTCCTACCACTATATGGTATCTGGTAATGGATGGAACCATAGCTGACTTACCGCACTGAGGGTTTTTTAATATAAGGAAGGTTCTGTATAGGGAAATTTGGCAGTGCAGAGCTAGAGGAGAGCTTCATCTGTATGGGAACAGGAGGACATTTGGTACGCTTCCAAGGAAAACTGAAGTTTTTGGAGGAAGATTAAAGTTGTGTTTGCCAAGAAGGGGTTGTTTCCAAAGCTTAAACTCCAATTGGAATTTCAAAGTCTGGCTACCTAACCCAAGGGGGATTGATATTAGGAAAGATAGTTGCCTTACCCACAAGATAGGGTACATATTGGAAATTTCGTTAAAACATTTATTTCAATACATTGATAGGAAGTTTACATCAGATGTCATTTTTAATTTTCATTGTCTCGGAGGTTGTTATGGAAATGTAAGGTATGCTGTAAGTAATTACCTGTAAGTGAAAAATAATTCTTAATTGAGACTTCTTTGGAAGAAATCAAGAAATTCTACATTCTGAAATTAACTTTATTTTTTTATTTGAGAAATAAGATTTAGTGTTCCTTATAACCCCTATATATTTTTTTTAGATGTAACAGACAACATGAAATTGCGTAATTCAGTCAATGAGATAATTTTGTAATCTGAGTTAAAAGCTGAACAAAAACTGTTTGCTGTAATTAATACGAATTTAATAGAATTAGTTTAAACGAAATCACTTACACCTCGACTCGAGATGAATCGGTTGGTCAGGCCAGCACCTAGAAAAGTCTGTAGGGGGGACATATGATCCTCAACAAACTGGACCGCGGGATTATCTTAAGTAAATCGACAAACAAAGTATTTCTATTTACGATCTACCTATTCAACTTGTTGGGTAATTATGATGCCAACAGTCAGACAGTTTTTCGGAGCAAACATATCAATATTACGCCACTTATGATAAATAAATAATGGCTAAGACATTGTCAATACAAAAGTCCCGTCCATAAAACGTCAGCCGATATGACGGTAACCCGATACAAATCATCAATACTGTAATTATATCAACAGCACCATGACATCGTAGTCTGTGTTTGATAATCTTCTTATTAATTTTGTAACAAATTTTCCCGTAAGTGGCCTAGAGGTGAAACATATATCATTAGCATTCATTTCTCAGTGTATCGTGTTTAATTTTTTTCAGATACATTTAAACATGCATTAAATACAATTTTACATGCAGATTATCAAAATCTGTTTGCGATTGTAGAGGAATCAAATTTCTCAATTTGGATTAAGTGTAATTTGAGTTGTCTATATACGCCGAGTGTCACTTACGCCCCGCATTCTGTACAATGGAGCATGCAGATACATTACACCAATTATACCGAATTTATAGAGAAATATTTTAAAATGATATCAATATTCTTTGTGCTGGATTTTTAAAATGGCTTATCAGATCTGAAATTGTTTGCTTAAATTGAATGTAAATGTCTGTCTGATTTTATTTTCTTTGTTTTCATGTTTAGAGTAAAACCCGGTGCAATGTTTGAGGGAGTCCCCAAGATGATAATAGGGCGACCTTGTAGTATTATTTCAGTATAATGACACCTCGAGGTTTGTTCGAGGGGTTGGGTATTTGGGTGCAGCTTGAAGGAAAACCATCTAATCATCCTTTATTCTATTCCCTTTTCTCAAACAGAAAAAAAAGGCTGTATTTGTTTACGGTGTTTTATTTCTGAGACGCGACCGTCTTCAAAACAGAAGCATTATCACGATGTAGCCAAGAATAATAATTCCACAAGCAGAGAATAAATGGTAATTATTTATTTAACTGCCCCCGATCAAATCTATGGTCTATTTAAACGCGGCCTTGTAAATACTCATTTCGAATATGTTTGCTAGTCGTGGAGCTAAAAACCATGTAACTAGATCTACTGGCATAGATTATTTGTAGCTATATTGTTGACAAAGAGTTGTCGCTGACACATACAAACAAACACCGACCTACTGGTCTGTTTACCTACACAGATCAGGTTTCATGTCATCGAACCTCCTGCAAACATTGATGACTAGGGGCTAATGGGCACAGATTAGGATTTTTTTGTGATAAACGGTTTAATTCACTTATGCCAATAGGGAACCGTCCATTCTTGTTTTGTAAAAAAAATATCTTGCACTGTCACATTCGAATCACTTACAAAAAGATTAAAGACCGTGGTAAAAAGCTTAGGCAATGAAAAGATTAAAGGTAGGAAGGCCGTATTTGGCTTTTGTTTTCATAATTGATAATGATTAGTCTTACAGCATTAATAGTTATTGATTCATTCTTTGCCTGACAGCGTTAAATCCCCACTTTCAGAGACAATCAAATCTTTTCTTGATATATAAGACCCTGATTAGATTCTCAATTTTAAGGTTGCACTTCATATGATGACCGCAGAATGTCATTCAAGAAAATTTCAAAGAAAATTTCAAATTATTTTGTCCTTCAAAAAGATTAAAGTAACAAGTTTGCACCTGACGGTAACCAGAAAATATTTGTACTAAAGTTTTCGAGGGGAGAAAACACTAAAGCAAAAAGAAGACAAAAAACTTTGTTTGTATGACGTGTAACCAAATAAACTGTACCAAGACATTTGAGGAGATATAAATTATTAAGGATCCTTGGCCCACTGCATTGTGGTTTTTCCTATTTTCCCATTGACTTCCATTTGGAAATACATGTATAACTGTAGCATAGTTGGGCCATGACACCTCTATTGACCAAGTTAAGCTGGATTGGTTAAAGCGATAGTATAAATAATCTGAAGCACAGGGTTCAAATTCTGGTCTAGCCAGGCTTAAATTTTACATTCAGAACACTGTTGTTGATTACAGTTTGATAATTTCATCTTCAGTATATTTCATGACAGTCCTCTAAGGTATGGCTTTCTTTCAGAAGAGATTTATCTTAGCTATAGTCATGCCAGAAAAAAACCACTTTCCAGTGCTTAGTTTTAGTTTCTGGCATTGGTACCGGGATCCTTAAAATGTTCGGACCGGTCAACTTTTCAAAAGCAGCATGGTCTGTAGTGGGTGCGTTTGTATGTCTTTGCAATAAAACAGATTGATTACAGTACTGAGAACAAAGAACATTATTTTAATTTACTGGTACAATGTAGAAGTTTCACCACTGCAGGTTTAGGGAGCAAAAAATAAATGTCAAAGAAAATATTGGTGTAAATTTCATCTACGCCTGGCAGAGATGTCGTTTGTTTTTAGCTCACCTGCCCGAAGGCCAAGTGAGCTTATGTCAGGGTGCAGCATCCATCGTCCGTCTGTCCTCGTCCGTCAACTTTTCCTTTAAACAACTTCTTTTGAAGAATGGACAGGCCTAGAGTCATGATATTTGGTTGAAAGCTTTGTTGGTAGGAGCCCGACAAAGTTTGAGAACGAAAATGACCTTGACTTTCTTTCAAGGTCACAAGGATCAAATGTGTCAAATACTTCAAACAACTTCTTCTGAAGAACTGAAAAGTATAGCATTTTTAAATTTGGCTAGTGGCTTCCTGGGGAAGAGGCCGACAAAGTTTGAGAACGAAAATGACCTTGACCTTCTTTCAAGGTCACAGGGATCAAATGTGTCAAACACTTCAAACAACTTCTTCTGGAGAACTGAAAGGTATAGAATCTTTATATTTGGCTAGTGGCTTCCTGGGATTGAGCCCAATAAAGTCTGAGAATGAAAATGACCTTGACCTACTTTCAAGGTCATAGGGGTCAAATGTGTCAAACACTTCAAACGACTCCTTCTGAAGAACTGAAAGGTATAGAATCTTTACATTTGACTGGTAGCTTCCTGGGAAAGAGGTCGACAAAGTTTGAGATCGAAAATGACCTTGACCTCCTTTCAAGGTCACAGGGATCAAATGTGTCAAACACTTCAAACAACTTCTTCTGAAGAACTGAAAGGTATAGAATCTTTATATTCGACTGGTGGCTTCCTGGGAAAGAGCCTGACAAAGTTTGAGAATGAAAATGACCTCAACCTACTTTAGAGGTCACAGAGGTCAACAACATTTTAAAGGATTTGTTCTTAAGAACTAAAAGTAATGGATTCATAAGATTTTGCTGGTAGCTTTTTGCAATAGAGCTCACCAATTTGAGAAGGAAAATGACATTGACCTACTTACAAGATTGCAGGGAAAAATATGTCGAGCAACTTCTGAAGAAGAATAAAAAAGCAAAGAATCTTATAATAATATTTGGCTGGTAGTTTCAACAGATGGAGCTGACAAAGTTTGCGAGGGAAATATTTTTAGTGCAATATAATATTTAATGAGAATATTTTGCTATGACTGCTAAAATATTCAGGTGAGCGATACAGGCCCTCTAGGGCCTGTTGTTGTTAAACAAAGTAATTGTTATCTTAACATAACCACCCCATTGAATTTTATGATCATATGTCTAACTACAGTTTTTCTATGGCTGATTGACTATCGCTTAAAGTGTTTTAGATCTTGGTACGACTAACAACTGTTTCTGCTTTTATAGGACAGAAGGATTTTGTTGTCTGAGATATCCAGCTGTACAATTATGTACTCCAAGAATCTGCTTGGAAGTTTGAACCAAATGCATACTCCTGGAACCAGTATTTTCCATTTTTAGCTCACCTGGCACGAAGTGCCAAGTGAGCTTATGCCGTGGCGCGGCGTCCATCGTCCGGCCGTCGTCCGGCGTCAATATTTTACTTTAAACGACTTCTTCTTAATAACCGAAAGGCCTAGGGTGTCAATATTTGGCCAGAAGCAAACTTGGATGAAGGGCTACAAAGTTTGTTCAAATAAATGACCTTCACCTATTGTCAAGGTCACAGGGGTCAAATATGTCAAAAACTTTAAACATCTTCTTCTCAATAACCAAAATGCCCAGGGAGATGATATTTGGCCAGTAGCATGCTTGGGTGAAGGGCTACCAAGTTTGTTCAAATGAATGACCTTCAATTATATTCAAGGTCACAGGGGTCAATTGTATTAAAAAACCTTTAAACAACTTCTTCTGAATAACCAAAATGCTCAGGGTGATGATATTT